TTTTCTAGAATGAAAAGCTATTGGATAAAGTTTATTATCTATTCCCATTTGTGACAATACGACACTCAAAGCAAAGTCTGATGCATCTATTTTCATAAAAAAATGGCTTAAAAAAATTGACGCAATAGAAGTTTGGTGCAGAAAAAAAACTATCTTCAAAGCTTCAAATGTTATTTCTGCTTCTTGATTCTATTGAAGTTTGTCTTTGCAAGTCAAACATGTAAGTAGAGCTGCAACTTGAGAGAAGTCTTTGATGAAGATCCGATAGTAGTTGATAAATTCCAAAAAGCATTGAACATCTCTTACCGTTTTGGAGATCTTCCAATCCATAATAGTTTAAACTTTCTTAGGATCCATCATAAGTCTATTATTTGAAATGATGTATCCTAAGAAGTCGACTTGAGTAGTGTGAAATACACACTTTTCTATCTTGAAATAGAGTCCCGCATCTCTTAGTTTTTGTAATACTTGACAAACATGAAGTTCATGTTCTTTTAGATTCTTAAAATAGATTAAGATGTTGTCTAAGTAACAGACAATAAAATCATCTAAAAACTACCAAAAGACATCATTTATTAGATGTTGGAATACTGTTGGTGCATTTATAAGTCCAAAAGGCATAACGTTGTATTCAAAATGTCCATACCTTATTCAAAACGCAGTCTTACATTCATCTCCTTCTTTGATGCATATCAAATTGTATACTCCCTGCAGATCTATTTTTGTATAGATCTTAGCTTGATTCAACTAATCAAGAAGTTCAGATATCAAAGATAGCAGGTACGTATTTTTTATAGTGATTTTATTAAATCCTCGATAATCAACATACATCCGTAATGATCTATTTTTTTTCTTCACAAATAAAATTAGAGCTCCTGCTGGAGATTTGGAATGGCATATGAAATTCTTGGCCAAATTCTCTTCAATATACTCCTTGAATTGAGCTAACTCATTTTGAGATAAATTGTAGATTGGTCCAAATGGCAGTTGTGCTCCTTCTTAAAGGTCAATTGAATAGTCATAGGAACAATATTCTAGAAGAATATCCACATTCTTTTCCTTAAATACATCTTGAAAATCTTGATATTGGCTTGAAATGCCACTTGAAGTCTTTCTACCAATAGAAACAAGTGTGGCATAAATGACATAAGATGATCCTTTTTTTGTAGCATGCAAGAAAGTACTTACACCTACAAATATAGGTTTAATTATACTAGACTTATGACTTTCTATTTGATTAACTACACTCTTAGTTATACTTTCAAAAAAGTCAAGACTATGAGAAGTCCAATCTATTTTAGGATTATAATTTTTTAGTCATGATAAACCTAAAATGATTGGTTTAGAAGGAGATCTAATAATATTAAATATTATAAAGCTACTATGACCATTAGTTGCTATTTCTATAGGAAGGGTTTCATGAGTAACATCTCCTAAAGACAACAAACAACCATCTATGATTTCTAGATGAACAGGTTTAATTTTCTTTACTAAAAATATGCTATGTCTTTTAGCAAATTTTTCATCTAAGAAACATGCTGAGGCTCTTGAATCTAGCAAGGCAGAGGCTTTGAGATGTTAAGGTCCTAGAATAACATTTATTGTAAAACATGGAGAGGGTTTTGAGGAGAGGATAGGACCTTCACTAGGCATTGTACAAAGTTCCAGCCACACGGTTCCTATTGTAGTTGGACAAATTCGTTTTTTGACATGCTATCTTCTTAGATCGTCATACTCTTCATTTTATGGTTGTGTCGTTTCTTTGGACAGTGTTGAGTATTATGCTTAGGTTTTCCACAATATAAGTACAATCCTTCTTGACGACGACAAGTCTTTTCTTGCTCAGTAAGAGGTTTGAAACGTACTGCGTCAATTTACATATCCTCTACTTCTAAATGTATCTGTTGAAGAGATATGGGTATTGGTATTCAATAATAGTAATGTTGAGGTCCACTTATACAGTTCTCAGATTGAAATTCAAAAAGGTGATTGTCGCACTTCACAACAAAGTCAATTACTTGGCTCAATGTTTAAAGATCAGGTAAGTTAAGCATTAATTTTTTTACCTCATATTGTAATCCGTAGAGAAATTGGCTAATAAGTGCAGCATCATCCCACTTGATATCAATTGTAAGTTGTCAAAATTGTGAAGCATACAACGTTACTAATTGATTGCCTTGTCGTAAAATATGGATTTTATTGGTTGGAACATGAATTGCATCATGTTTTCCATACATGGATCAAAACTCCACCAAAAAAGCCTCTAAATTATCCAATATTAGATCTTGTCATTCAAAAAATGATGAAAATCATGATAATACTGAACTTGTAAGAAGCGTACCAACGAATCTAACTTGCTATCTTGGAGTTGGATAGCTTTGGGATTGAAGTTCAATCACAAGTTGTACTTGATTTATAAATCCTCAAAACTTGGATCTGGTGCCATCAAACTTCTTGGGTAGGACAATTCTTGATTTTCTAATATTAGAAGGATGTTCCACCATAGGAAAAGGGACATGATTTGGTGCAGATATTGAAGCAACTCCAATCATTTCTATATCTTCACTTCCTTCCAATCTTGTTGTTCCTTATAGTGGTAAATTGAGTTGATGCATCACAAGTATTAACTTCTTCAATTGCTCTTGCATTTGTGCCATTGCACTCTTCATTTTAGCAAGTACTGCTATGATAACACTTAGAAAAGAGAAGATGTCTAATATTGTTTATGACAAATAGAAGAGAGGACTTGAGAACAAAGAAAATACTAAAGACAATATCAATTTAGAAGAGGGTAATCCGCAACTTCTAATATGCTTGTGTCTTATCATGAAAAAGGGATAATCCACTCTTAATCAAGTTTTGATAAAGCTTTGATATTGTAGGTGTACTCTTATCAATCTGTCAAGGATAAGAATATGATAAAGACAAATAAACAACTGAGACTTCTCTCATAGAAATATGAAAAAATAGAAATAACTTGATATATATATTAAAAAAGAAACTGGAATGGCTATTGTCAAAAGTCAAGAAAACTAAAGACCCTTGAAACTAGACTAGAAGCAAGAAAGATGTTAACAAGAGTGAAGAAGGCTTCACTCTTGTCTCTATATATACTATCTAATTAGGGACTACGTGGCGACGTTCTATAGGACCTCCAATATGTATTGACTTTATAAGACACATGCCTTGACTTACAAGGCAAGTTTTTCTACGTGTAGGCCACATAGTTAGCTTGGTCTTCAAGCTAACAACATGTGTGGCACATGGCCAACTTGTTGACCATGTTTCTAATCCCAAAAAGTCAATTAAAGATACCTATAAAGTCAAAGTAACATCTATGAAGCTTCTAAGAAGCCTCTATACTAAATACTATAGAATTAACTTATTTTTACCTACTTTTACTTACTTCTACTTATTTATATATGTAATTATTGGCTTACATGCATATGTCCGTGACAGCTTCATATTTTAGAACATATATGCATCTTTTTAAATATAATAGATTATTCTTCAATTTAAATTTTGAAGTAGCATGAGGATTTGAAGGATTTTTTTAATATTATAAATAAGAGGATCAAAAGATATATTTGATTAAACTTATTTAATGAAAGTTGAATCAATAGTTAGTGTTGATTTTATTGTTGGAAGATGAAAATGCTCTTGCTTCAAAAAAATTATTTGTTGTTGATCAAAAATAGCATCTTCTTCTTTTGATACAAGATAAGATTGTCTAGAGAGTACACCTCATAAACCTTGTTATTTTCGTAGTTGATAAGTAATCTTAAATTCGAATCTTGACAAAAACATGCTCTAATAAGCTTTGTAATGATTCATATTTATGTTGGTATAAAATACTTTATGTTCTTATAATCTATATATATGGTGATTGGACTAAAAGCACCTTCTTAATAATGGTACTATTCTTCAAACAAATCCATGATTGTAAGAAGTTCTTTATTGTAAATCTTGTAGTTGATCTTGCCTATTAAAAAAAATTGGAATAAAAAGCTATTAGATGAAGTTCATTATTTTTTTTTTTTTATGATAATATTACATCTAAAATAAAGTTTGATGTGCTTATTTCTATAAAAAATGGCTTAGAAAATTCGGTATAATATAAGATTGGTGTAAAAACAAAGATTATCTTCAAGTCTTCAAATGTTACTTCTGCTTCTTGATTCTATTGAATTTTACCTTTATAAGTCAAACATTTAAGTAGAATTGTAACTTGATAGAAGTCCTTAATAAAGATTCAATAGTAATTGGTAAATTCCAAAAAATCATTTGACAACTCTTATTATTTTTGAAATCTTCCAATCCATAATAGTTTGAACTTTTTTAGGATCCATCATAAGTCCATTATTAAAAATGATGTATCTTAAAAAGTTGACTTGAATAGTATAAAATATATAATTTTTATCTTCATATAAATTCTTATATCTCTTATTTTTTGTAATACACAACAAATATGTAGTTCATATTCTTTTATATTCTTATATAGATTAAGATAGTTTTTAGATAATCAATAAAATAAATTGTCCAAAAACTCTCAAAAGACATCATTCATTAGATGTTGAAAAGTTTCTAGTACATTTGTAAGTCTAAAAGGCATGACATTATATTCAAAATATCCATACCTAATTTAAAATCTAACCTTCTATTCAATTCTTTTTTAATATATATCAAATTATATGTCCCTTATAGATCAATTTTTATATAGATCTTTGATTGATTTAACTAATCAAAAAATCCAAATATCAAAGATGGTGGATATAAGTTTTTGATGGTAATCTTATTGAGTCTTCGATAATTGACACACATTTCCAATGATCCATCTTTTTTCTTCACAAATAAAATTAGAGCTCTTATTTGAGATTTGAAATGGCATATAAAGTTCTTATCCAAATTCTCTTCAATATATTCTTTGAATTCAGCTAATTTATTTTGTGATAAAGTATAGATTGATCCAAATAATGGTTGAACTCCTTCTTCAAGGTCAATTGAACAGTCTTAGAAACAATGTTCCAAAAAACATTTACATTGTTTTTTTAAAATATATGTTGAAAATCTTGATATTGACTAGGAATATCATTTGAAGTCTTTTCACTATAAAAAATAGGTGTAGTATAAATGACACAAGCTATCATTTTTTTGCAGCATGTAAGAAAGCTTTTGCACCTACAAATACATGTTTGCTTGCACTAGACTTATAAGTTTTTATTTGATTAGCTACATTCTTAGTTTTACTTTCAAAAAAGTTAAGTTTATAAGATATTCAATCTATTCAAGGATTATGTTTTTTTAATTATAATAAATCTAAAAATGGTTGAATTAAGAAGAGATTTAATGATATTAAATACCACAAAACTACTATAATCATTAGTTATTATTTCTAGAAGAAATGTTTCATGAATAATATCTCCAAAAGATAATTTTCTGTGTTCTCTTTCTATTGCAGGTTCACTTGCTCCTGCACTCTTCGCAATTATGTGGAGTCATAGCGAAGGAGAATTGTTTTTCATTGCAACTCATTTTGTCGGATTCGTCATTTTGTGCATTGGACCTCTTTCGACTCCTTCTCTTGGATATTTCGTACTTCATATTTCGATGACGAGGGTTTAAGTATCAAATCATTGAGAAGAGTGCGGTTGTGGGTCTTCGGGACAAGCGAATCTCGTGGGATGAGCTCTCAGAGGTACACCCTTCCGGTGTCCTGTTTCACCCATTCACCGTGCACTTACTCACCTGCTCACTGCACAGGGCTCCACATCGTGAGTCTGGGTTTTCCGGGGTCCGCCTGCTTCCATTCTGCCATTGACGAATAAACCCAAACAAAAACATAAATAAATGAGCACGCCTGACTCGCTTGACCACGCATCCGACATTCCTCCACCCCATCCACTCACCCCTTGCAAACCTCAGTGTGTGTAACAATGGAATGATCACAGGCTCGAAAGCTTCACTCCGCTTTTGTCATCATCGGTTCCTCGCAACACCTCACTCCCTCCCCCCGACTCCCCACGCTCTCTGATCGCTCCCCCGTGCAAGGCTCATCCGAAGAAATTCAACCATTTTGTCCGTTTCACCTCAGCGGGTTTCCCCTCAGAAGCGCGGGCGTTTTCTAATCATCGCCAAACACGGCCCACTCACTCTACCACTCTACCACCCCCACAGAGTCTCAGATATCCAAGGAAGGTTTGGAAGCTGCATTAGCTCTCCAGCCCGGCGGGGCGAAAGCTTTAGGCGGCCACTGCGAATTTTTGAGAAACAAGCCTATGAGTTCATCGTCACCGACTCTGCCCCCCTACCTCACCGCCTCACACCCACCACTCACCCACGCAACTCCCCCAGGGATCAGATTTCTGGCTTGGCTCCTTGGAGCATGAACGCACAGCTCGAATCAGTGTCGATCATTTGGGGAAAGTATCCTCATATCCCCATGTCACCTACCACACGCTAACGTCACGCGCCTCACCCACGCAGGCTGCTCAGAGTCGGCCATGGTTTTATGGTTCGATTCATGCCAAGCGGTGTCCTCACTGCTATTCAGTAGAGGGAGCTGTCAATCCTCACCGCAGCCTCCGTTCGCCCAACAAACGCCACACCGCGCCCGCGCCGCCCCCCTCCCCCGCATCGACACATCACCGCGCCGGGAAGGGACGCAGGGGAACCGCCTCACACACTCACAGAAACACATCAGAAGCGCAGGGACGCGTCACTTGCTTTCGCATCGGAGGGAATCCGACTAAGAATCTGCACCTCATCCTCTGCGACCACCCCTCGCTCGGACTCTCAACATCACACACAACTCGCCACGCCTCGGACCCTGTCCCGACTCCCCCTCCACCACCGATGCCCTACCAAGTCCTCCCCGTCCCATTGCTGCCCGACCCACTCCCGCACCTGTTTCGATGCTGGCACCTCACCTACATACATATACTGCTCATTGGCACCCCCACGGCGCCTAGCACTGACCCCCAGCCCTAACCCTAACTCTCCAATCCAACGCGACCTGCCCACGGTTCCACCCAGCGCACCCGTCACCCCCCCGCCCACGACCGGAACCCTCCGGGTCCGCCGGCGCGCGCTGGAGCGACAAAGGTTCGGGGTGTGCCAGTCCGGACGTTGCAGCCGCGAGGAACTCTTCACGTCAATTCTGGGTTGGATTCCATGCTGGGTTCTCAACCCAACCCTCCCCTTCTTTTCTCTTGGTGGAAGTCATCACGTTTCATGTGATTCTGTTGTTTGTTGTTCTTGTTTTTTCTTCCTTCCTTTTCTTTCTTTGAGCTGTTAGACATTCTAAAGTGTTTCAATTCCTGTCTACTTAATGCCAATTTTTTCCAATTTCACTATGAAATTTGCTGGATCTCCTCACAAAATCTACATTTGCATATCATGGTTTGTGTGCATAAAATCATGATCCAAGCAAATTTTATGTGGTTAATTCAACAATATTTGATTGTGCATATTTTGTGTATGTATGTAGGTGCTTATATATTTATGTATGTACATATGTATATATGATGCAATAGAATATTAGATTTAAGAAGTTAGAAATTTGCGATTATTTTAATGTTCTAGATCATTTATATTCTTTGGAATAATTAGGATGTATTTTTTTTTTATTAGAAAGATCAAGTAGAAGCATGCCTCAGTATCATTGAAATATTTTATATTCTACAAAACAAATAGACTTGAATGAAATATGAATGTGTTTGTATTTAGTTCAATTGAAACAAACAAATTTTGTTTAAATCCTATTTTATGGTCTCATATGTGGCTTCTAACATCTCTTGATGTGCAACCCACCAAATAGCAATTGGATTAATATCTATTTTAAAAATTACTTATATTTTGTACTTATAATCTTTTTCTCTTTAAATTTGGAGATTATAATTTCTTATCGAATGTTGTAGAATTTTTTTGAATAGCCTAATCATCATTAGCAGCCACAAACATAGTACAACGCCTTTGTCTTATTCAAAACCACTGACAAGATATGACTTCATAAGAATTTTAGTTCAAGAGGGCTTCTTTATGTAAGTCTTTAATTTTTATTGACACTAAGAATGTCAACTAATAGAAGAAGCTTCTAAGATGAAATTCACCAAAGTAAATGAACTTTTATACATCTAAGAATAATTTTATGTACAACTTATTTTTATATACATATATTTTTAATTTACATGCTATGCTTATATTTATGTTATGACTAAATTTACTTTAGATACAATTACTTAAAGTAAGGATTCTTATTCTTCTTTCATAAATAAATCTTTTAAAATACATTCAAATTTATCATACAAATTATATTAAATTATTTCTTTTTATAAAAGAATTAAAAGTGTACATTTGTTTGAGCATCATATTATATTTCTCTTACTCAAGTTAATTGATATATTAATTACTACAACTAACAATATAAGTATAGTTAGATTTGTATGCAAATATTTATGATTGTTCTTTTAAATAATTTAATGTATGATTAAAATAAGTACAAATTTCTTATTTTGGCTTGGTGTTAGTAGTTACATTAATATTTTTATAACAAATCCAACTAACTTGAAGAATAGTAAAAATTGAAAATGAAATAGTAAGAAGCCATATCATCTATTTACTCGACCATGATGTCTATACTTTTCTTCTAGTTTATGCTATTTGTTAGATTTTAGCTCTTACAACCTTCAAGCTTGTAAAATTATTCTTCTACTATTTTTGTTGCTATATGAAGCACTTTATAAGATAAAGTGTGAAAATTTTAATAAATGGACTCATGGCATTTTTTAAACATTCAATTGTTGATGCAATTTAAAATGGCCACTGATAATATTTAAAGATTTACTTTAGAACTAATCTATTGTTTTAACATTATCCATATATTTTTTATGCTTCAAGTCAAAATTTAGCATTGAAATTAGTTTATATAAAGCTTGGCATGATTGTATAGGAACTACAAAAGAACAATCATGTTATTGTGTTGTTACACAACTATTGGGTGAAAGAGAAAAATATGGATTTTATTATAAAAAAATCTAATTGAAGAATATAGTAGCAATTTTTATTAAAAGACATAATTAAAAGATAAGAAGATAGAAAAAATATTTATTGTTAATATTGCCTTTTATAAAAATAGCTTCTACTCTCTATATAAGACCATAAATTAGTTAAAACAAAGTCGATTAGCAATAATAATATTATAAGTATCTTTAGTTAGAAATAAAATGTAGCTTTTATCAAATATTATCTAAAACAATTAAAAGTTGATATTCAAAGAGGACAAATAGTGAACCAAGGTTGAAAATAGACTTTAAGATAGAAAATTATATACCTACAATAATGACCAAGTTCTTTTGTTGATAAGAAAGCAATATTAAGGAATTAACTAATTATGATTTTTTTTAATATTTGTTTTGATTGATTTGAATAGATATGGACTTTGTAAGAGCTTTGTAAATTTAAGCTTGTTTTAGGTTTTTTGAAGTTTTATGAAATAAAAAAGAATGTATATTTTGTCAAATTTTTTTGAAGATTGTAGAAAATCGATAAGTGAAAATTTGTAGAATTACAAATCTACTTATTTAACAAATATTTTTAAAATTTAAATTTAATAAAATTGTTAGATCAAAGATTGTTAGAGATCAATTGGTTTATAATCTTAGAAATTAGATTATAAGAGTTAATAAGGATTTCTATGATCGTGAGAAGTTTGTTGGTTATATTAAAGTAATTTTCTTCTAAGTTGATAGTGATTTTAGTTTAGGATATTTTTACAAAATTTTAGGGCATTTGAAAGATGCAATAAAGAGCTATGGTTGTTGGAAGATTGATATCAATGTTAAAAAATAAGGGCAATCAATTTTGAAGCAAATTAAGAGTTTTTTTTTATTTCAATCTATAAGTTCAATTTTCAATTAATTTTTTATACTTGTTGTTAACTAATAGATTGAAATATATGCAAATCTCAAAGAAAGACCAACTATTTAATTAATGATTATTGAGGTTTTAAAACTAGTATAGAATTTAGTTAAGATTGATAAGAATTTGATATAGATTTGATTAGAATTTGGTTAGGACTTTGATAAGAAATATTGAAATTTACTTAGGATTTTATTAAAATATATTTAGATTTTAATAAAGTTTGTTTATATTTATTTAGAATTTGATAAGAGTAGCTTTAAAAATTTATTAGAATTTATCAAGATTTATTTAGATTCTATGAAGATTTATTAGATATTACTTAAAGTTATTTTTAGGATATTTGTTATTTCTTTAAATTTTTTAATTATTTACTATATATATATATATATATATATATATATATTTGAAATTCTTTTTGGTTTATTTAGTAGTCTTTAAGATTTTATTGAAACTTTCTTTAGGATTTGAATAAGGTTTGATTAAAATTATTAAGCCTTAATTGAAATTTATTTAAGATTTTATTAAATTTTTTAGATTATAAATTTGTTTCAAAGTACAAATTTACCTTACATAATCAAGTACTAAGAGCATTTCTAAATACAACAATATATAATACAATAATTTATTAGAAAAATATATTTCTCTAAAAAGCATAAAAAGTTGGTCAAAGCTTAAAAAATATTTCTAAGAACATGCAAGAATCAATCTAATGCACAAAGACATACACACTTATTGGGAATTCTAAAAATCAAGAGCTTTAATAGCCACATGGAAAAAAAAATTTACTTTCAAATATTGCCTAAAATATCGAAATTAGTCTAATTCAGATCAAAATTTGAATTATTTTAGAATTTTAGAATTTACACAATTTTGTGTATAATTATGTGATATTTAACCTTCAGTATTTATTTAAAACCTTTTATTATTTATAGCTTAGAATGTAGAATGAAAAACTTTAAGTTTTGGTACTACTATATGCTCTCTATTTCTAATCAAATATAAGTACTTATAGTGAATTTGTATAATATATATTTATGTATTAAGATTTATAGAAAATGTATTGAATATGTACTTAACTTGCAGTTAAATTCATGTATTGCTTAGCATTGCAAGTTGCTTCATGAGCTTCTACAAAACTATGATATTCTTTAATTTGCTGTTACAATCTAATATTTGTAGCTCTTCATGAATTAATTTTGAATCAAAATAGCAAGTTTATAATTCATCATGTATTCATTTTTTAAATTAAATAGGTATTTTTTTAATTTTAATTTTAAGTTTTATTACTACTTAAATTCCAAATATTCAAAGAGAAAAAAGAAACATGAATAAAAATTAAAGATATATCGTAAAATCACACCTTATTTTGAGATAAAAGTTAAAAATTAGTTTTAACATTTTTTATCGTTTTGTTCTATTATCTCAAATTATGAGGCTTATATATGGAAGACATGACCTTATTCATATTTTCCAGGTCCAAGTCAATATCTTGTATCTGAGATTTTAAATATTAAAATTAAAATCTAAAAACTTAAATATAGATATTTTAAGGTTTATTACCTTCATCATCCGTTGTCATATAGTAAATACCTATAATATATAAAAATTAATTAAAATATATTTTACATACATATGTCTTAATATGTGTTAGAATAGTTAATAAATTAATTTTAAGAGATTGGATATAATAATCTTTATTTTGAATTTTATCTTTTTTTTTTATAGTATTTAAATTATATAAGATTTAGATGTTTAGCATATAGCTTTAAGAGAAGGTTGAAGCCTAAGGATGAAAATCTAAACTACTAGGAGGCTTATGGAAAGGGATGAAATCAAGACATGGTTGGATGAAGGCAAAAGGTAAAGATCTTTATCCCTATTATTCAAAGACCATGCCTAATGGACATTCAGCAAGCTCTCTACGTCCATAACAAGGA